GGCGGCGAGGTGAGAGGAATAGGCTTTGGTACATAATTGTTTTTCGTCACTAGGAGTCTAATCTTGAAAATTTGATATCGGGATGCAGTGCATAAACCCCCTATTGCAGTAAGCTTCAAACCTATGTCCATATTTCTCAGTGTCAGGCTTGCAATTCTACACAATTTGGTCCCTCGTTCGACGAATAGGATTTCTTGTGAAGAGGCTGTGAAGAAACTGTGAAACAGTAAGTGAAGAGACTACAGTATTGTGATATAGTGACTGTAAAATAACAGTATATATAAATCACTGAAGAGAAAATGTTGTCATGGTATGAGACAGATGTAATTAGAACAGTGACTTTGGATGTCTATACCAAGATGAGGACTTTTATCATGTGTATTTTAAAACAAAACAAAAAACAAAATGTGTTTTAAGCAGTTTTAATATATTTCAAATTTGAAAAAAAAATAGTTGAGATTGTAAATCGTTTCGAGACTATCTCAACTATCACAAGAAGTGAGTGAGAGTATGCAGGAGGAAGCCATATTTGTTTCGGTGGTCAGTGCGCCGTGGAAGTGTGGGAAACCACGTTCGAGATTGGAAGATTAAAAAGAAGAAATTTAACCACCAGAATTGTGTTGTCTGTCAAACATAATTCATTTGTTGCTGGATATGATGAAACTCATGTTACTTAAAGAGTCGTTTTTGAAAGATAAATTGATCATATGTTGGAGGAACTAAACACATGCATACTCATGACGTCCCATGCCCACAACTTTTCACTGAAGTCGAAAAAGATTGCTTGATGGAATTTTGTACAAAGATGCAATGTAAAACTTAAATAGTTACTCACTGAAATATAGCAAGCTTGGTAGCTAGAAAACTGTGTTAATATAAAGATGGTAACATATGCCACATGGACAGAAGAATGGAGCAAATATGTTATGATGTTTAGGGTTAAATCATGTACAGTATAGTACACGACCATGTGGATGACACTAGTGATTGAACCTCATTTATGCTTCAGCGCCATGGAAGCAGGTAGGCCACAACAATATTTGAGTAGACAGTTCAATGTTTTTGGTAATAGTTCTTAAGATACTTACATTAATGCGTTCAATGTCTTGTGAAAAAAGGAATAAATAAAGGAAACAGTAAGTCACCATGTAGTCTGATGCAGCTCAGGGATAGTTTACATTATGTCACTGTTATCCCTCGCTTTGCTTCGGGGTATTATATTAGGCTCCGTACATACGTACGAATTTGAACCGTTGATTAGATTTTTTTCATAATTGGTACCTAAGCTCTTCAAAGTAAGCGAAAGGTCCCAGTCAGGTTTGGTGACCTTGACCTTCATTTCAAGGTCATAAGGGGAGTTTAACGTTTTATCCTTGTCAGCAAGATATCTCAAGAACCATTCACTGGATTTTCTTTATATTTGACACCAAGCTTCATCTAGGGGAGGCGCATGGACCAATATATCTTGGTGACCTTCACATAATTTTCAAGGTCACAGTGACACTTTGAAGATTTCAGCATGTTAACTTGCATGTTCAGCTTGTCAGCGAGATATCTCAAGAACAATTCAATGGATCTTCTTCATATGTGACACCAAGCTTTATGTAGGGAAGGCACAGGGCCAAGTCGATTTTGGTGACTTTCTCTTAATTTTCAAGGTCACAGCGACAGTTTCAAGATTTCAGCATTTAAAAATCTGGATGTTCAGCTTGTTAGAGAGATACCTTAACTATAAGCAGGGACACTCTAGAGTCTCCCTGCTATAAGGCAAATTAATCAGCTCCTCACAGCTCGTGACATGTTTATGGGGCAGGTAATTGGCAGTTTCTCTCAGTGAGAGCCACATATATTAGTCAACAGAAAGCACCTCTTATTCAGCGAGAGACGCACGTGTGTTGTACTTTTTAAAATCGCACTGTACCTATTATTTTAACCAATTAAGTAGTACTGAGCAAATATTAGCTTTTCTTACGAGAGATGCTACCTTTAGTGTCAATCAGAAGAAGTATTTAAAGTGATTGCTAATCATTATCATAGGCTTGTACAGCGTTTGGCAAATGAACACATGTCGGCGAGAAAGGGGATTATGATGTTTTTACAGAGGTAAGTGTCTGGTACTCTCCATTGGGAATGGATACTAAAATACTTCGTATGCTTATTGATTGAATTAGATGTAATGGTTTAGAGGTTACTGAAGATTATATTTTCTTCAACTTCCTAATAAATAGGAAACAATATACAAAATTTCAAGGACATACAAAGAATTCAAACACAATAGAATAGTTTGAATTTACTTTTTAGGCATTATTACGTTGTCATGTTTCATATAATGAAAAACATAATGTATAAACACAAATAATTATACATCCAAGCTCGAATAGATTAGACATAATTTAACTTACTAATTTGAAGCTTACTGAATTGTAACTAGTTATTTTCCATAATCTAAAGTTGATAATGTTACCTAATGGAATATAAAGTGATACATCGTGCCTTTGCATCGACAAATTCAAATCAACAGCTTGGTGCTTTTATTCATGTCAGTGTTATTACAACAATGAAATATTTTACTCGATTTGTTACAAAACACAGTATGTTGGTAATTCAAAGAAATCTCACACATAGACAGAAGTAATATCATAAGTTATTACATGTAAACCATACAAAGGTATTTCAGGCATTTTTGTTTAACCTGTTGAAGTTTCATGTTGATTTGAATTGTCAGTTTTCTATGCAGTTAACATGAGCATTGTGTAAAACATTTGTATTTGATCTCTGTAATTATCAAATCCGGTGTGGGGGGTGGGGTAGCCTAATGGTTAAGGCGTTGGCTCGTCACGCCGAAGACCCGGGTTCGAATCCCCACATGGGCACAATGTGTGAAGCCCATTTCTGGTGACCTCCGCCGTGATGTTGCTGGAATATTGCTAAAAGCGGCGTAAAACCAAACTCAGTCAGTCAGTCAGTCAGTCAAATCCGGTGTAATTATCACGTGTATCAATGAACTCAGTCTCTATTGATCCATCGTCAATAAAAGCTGGATAGTATAACAGTAACGATACACATGCGTGTAATCATTCAATAATGAGTATAGTAATGAGATAATTGAACACCTCTTTCGACCTTGAAATAACAGCCTCCGGTAGAATGCATATGTAGTTACGTCTTTGTTGAAAGGTTTGTCCCGTGACAAGCGTAAAATAAACAGATGTGCTGTTATATCATTGGACAACTTGCTTTATGGAGTCACGCCCCTCTCTGTAATGTTAATGCATGCATGTACATCTGTTATCTTATGAACCTCGTTTGCAATCAGTATAAATATAGGTACACCCACCTTCATAAATATTGATGTGTGTGTGTGTGTTTCAACTGCAAGTTTATACACTATAATAATTCAATATAGTGTAACTTCGTGAATTCCGTAATGCGTGTACTTTAGTTTGGATATTCATTCCTATCAAGGTGAAGATTATCTTTACATGTACAGCAAACCATTATGTTTTATGTACTAGTTGTGTGCGTAAAATGTATGTGAAAATAAATGCTATCTCTACTCAATGGTTGGATTTCAATCGCTTTGTTTTAATTATCGAAACACTAAAATGAGGGCATAATAAACTTGCCAAAGTGTCTATCTACTCCTATTTGTCTTATGTGTATATTTCATAATCGTTACCAGTGTGTATGTTTACAATACACAAACTGTTACATGATAGCTTGAGTTGACAAAGCCGAAACCCAGCATATCGACTGGTCAACGATATAGTCAATAATCAATCTCTATCCAAGCTGTTGAGTGACCAAACGTGCTCTTCAGAAATTTCGCCCACGCCCCATCACCTGTCCTTTCCTGTGTGACAGGTATCTCATGATACGATTGGTCACAGATAACATATGACCAGCCACTATATTGAACAGTTGAGATACAGAACGTTCTATTTGGGAAATTTGATAATGCCCTATCACGTGACTCTTTGTTTTATGTCTATGCAAGGAATATGTAGTATACATTTTTTATACGTATGTTTGTATGGTCACGTATGTTTTCTGCATTAAATCTAGATGAAACAAAGCGCCAAGCTATGAATGTGTTCTATGTTAGTCACAGACTAGCGTAATAGTACTTTCAGTAAACTAATTCTTATACACTAGAAATGAATCGGCAAAAATGCTATTTTCGTCGAAGATTATAAAGTATGTAAGTACATTCTTCTTTACAGTAGGTCATTGTCATAGATGTTTTGTAAAATTAAACCTCACACAATGATATGAGAGAGAGAATTTGTTTATGTGTGTCTCATCTCTTACATACAAAGAATACATGCATATTGTGATAAAATATAAATGTACAAGCCGCCAAAGGTCTACAACAGAAACTTGCAATAAAATTACATAAAACTTTGCAATACACGATATGTATTCACACTTTCTTTCAATATATACCTTTATGACACAATTAAACAATCAGGACTTGTTTGTACGACTAGACAGTTTCCTGTCATCCCCGAAACCTGCCAGGGAAATCAGGTGTGATTAGCACTAATTAGTCTCGGCACAACGAGTGGGCAATCAGCGAGGGGTTCCAGGTGTTGAGTAGTGAGGTGGCTCTCGGGCTTAATGAGTTAAGGACTATTTTCTGTATTTTCTTCATATTTGACACTAAGCTTCATCTAGGGAAGGTGCAGGGCCTAGTTGATATTGGTGACCTTCATTTAATTTTCAAGGTCACAGTGACACATTGAAGATTTTAGCATGTTAAGTTGTTCACTGAGACTTCTCGTGAATGTTTTTTGATAAGCAAATTCTTTGTTACTATTTTTTTGCATATTTCATACACCATTACATTCATGTCAAGGTCAAAGTGAGTCTTGCAAATATTTGTGTGTTTGAACAACTACAGAGCAAGATATCATTACTATTTTAATTGTGATTTGATAATTTGCAGTGAGGAATTATGTCACCTTAGTGACAACTGTTTGTTCTATGTTTTGTTTTAGGAAGCAAAAATTCGAGATCTGGGGTCAAAGTTCAGCATATCTGTTGACTATAACCGTTCAACAGGAAGGGTTAAACTTCACGGTCTTACAAATGATGTCATCACAGCCATGGAGGCAGTACACAAGATTGTACACGAGGCTCTTCGTCAGGAACAGCAATCTGAGAAGGCCGAGATGTTGTCATCTTACGTTCAGTGGTCATACATTGAAGTAGATAGTACAGGCTCATCACAATCAGTAGAATATGATAAGATCATTAATCAACTAATTGAAGAAGCTTATCAAAACAAGAAGTCTCTGATACGTCTGCCTCCTGACACTGTTGGGAACATTTATGTTGTTGATTTAAACAACATGGAAGAATATGATTCACATAATCACAGTGATAAAGTCTCTGTGATCAGAAAAGATCTAATCAAAGGTTTGTTAGTTTCCCAGCCTCATTGACTGCACCTGGTCAACAACTGGTCTAATCCTACTGAATAAATCTGGGAATATTGACTCAATATTGACAAAGTCAAACGTGACACATCAATAACTGTAATGTTAGGGTTTCAGACGTCACTGCCCAAAAATACATCCAGTATGGGCTGATGTGAAACAAATTTTATTTGAAAAGATGAATTTTATAGTTGACTGAATTGTTGAGTTGTAAATTAGTCTGAATATATCATCTGCTATGAAGTTTCCTGATGCTAATAGCTTGAGAATCAGACAAATTAAGTTTAAGGACAGGTTACATGTTTATATGAAGTATGTTGTGATTACATAAATGTAAGGTTGTAAATCTTAATCAGACATTATCCGAAAAGATGCTTCAACTAACAAAAGCTGTATAGCCTGAACACATTCAGCGTAATTGTGAAAGTATGTGTGCATGCTGACATGTATCAATGGTTTTCAGGAGCATCGTTTGAGCCTCCTTCCAAATGGACACAAATGACAACGGAAAGTGAAATGGTACCACTTAACAATACAGCTCAGGAGTACACAGATGTTCAACAGAAATTTCACAGCAGCCTTGGAAGACGTGCCAACATTTTGAAGGTTATTTACTGCATTGTTCATAAAAATAATTGACACTTGGTGCATGACTTTCTTAGGGTAGGGCCAAGATTAAAAGTGGTCCTGAGTGACCGTCTTATAAGATCAAAGTGACAGTGAATGTTTTAGTATGCTAGCTATTTTCACTGAGATATCTGCAGATAACTTTAGAACTCTTACGTTATTGAACTATTTATACAGTACAAGTGATGTCAAGCTTATGATCATTTATGTTTAACTTTTAATGTTCAGTTTTACACTGATACATATTAGAAGTGTTCACAGTGGTGGAAAGTATGAGGTGACCACAATTTGCTGTGCAGAGTTGTGTCCCTTGGGTATACCAGAAATACTAGTATGTGATTGTGGGTTTGAATCCTGAATCATTACGATTATGTTTCAATGTTTCTTGGCACCATGTGTTTTACCAGAGTGGTTAATGTCTGAGATCATCACTAGTGCTGCTGTTTCTTCCATGTTTAGCTGACACTCTGACCCAGCTGACATGTATTGGGCTTCCATGGGTACTCGAGTACTTGTCCATGAGTCAGGTTTAGCTGGACTCAAGTCCATTTTCTAGGACTTGAGGACTGGATAAGGGGAGATAATTCTAATTGGGTTACATTGTCAGACTCGTCTGTCTGCCATGTCAGCACTAAGCATGAGCGTCTGTTATCATTTGATATTATACCTTGTTACATTGTTTAAGACTTCACTTCTTAAAATGATTTGGTAACTATCCTGTTAACAATTGATAGACATGGAGAAAGATTGAAAATCAAATGTATGGATATATTTTGATCAAGATAGTGAACAGATAAAAAACAAGTGCCATCTGTGCGGTATATCACTGAGTTATGCAGGGAGTACGACTAGTACGATGAAAAAGCATTTGTCATTTAAACATCCAAATACTGATTTTGACCAGCCAAAATGAAAGCAGGCCACTCATAGATCATTTGGCAACTTTGGAATGACAAAACCTGTAGACAGAAAGTGGAAAGGTGACGGTTTTCGTGCATTCTGTGCCGAGTTAAACCTTAACTATAAAGTCCCATGCTCAACCACTCTCTACAATTACCTGCAATAAGATTTTTAACAAAGCTAAGTCAGAGCTAAAACCCAAACTTCAAGCTATTCTATTTGTTGCACTCACCACAGACATGTGGACAAGCATACCAACAGAGGGCTATATTACGATTACAGCTCACTTTCTTAAAACTTAGATGCAACCAACAAAATAAACATAATTAAAACACAATTATTATTTATTCATGACATATAATATACAGTACTGATTATGAAAAAAAAAACAAATAAACAAACTTATAAGCATACAATCACTAATCAAAAGTGCAATATTTTGTACTTGGGCTTACTACTGCATGTAAGCTTTAACAATTGGGTACTTAAATCGTGTGTGTGCTTGCCACACGAAGCTTAGAGGAACGCCGTACGGGCGGGAATATTGGACAGATTTTAAATTCTGACACATCCAATAGTCCTGAAATATTGTACACATTGTACACAATGCTGTCGTGCAAGTAAGTAAATTAGTAGTACATGAAATTCCCATGACACTGAATCAATCAATGTCATTTTGAGTTTGCATAATGGATTTTATTATTTTATGGTCTTTGATTTTACATTATCATAACAATGGAAAATGTAAGTCTCATGACAATATCAAATAACATCGGGTTGAAATAAGCGTTAACTTGCACGGAACACATTTCATGCCTTAAACTGTAATGGTTTAACAACGTGTATAATACCAACTTCAATATTCATTAACTCAGTAACCCATGCTTGTCGTGATAGGCGACTAACAGGATCAGGTGGTCAGGCTTGCTGACTGGTTGTCACATGTCATCCTATCAAAATTGTGTAGATTGATGCTCATGTTGCTGATCAATGGATTTTCTGATCCAGACTCGATTATGTACAGACCGCCGCCACATGGCTGGAATATTGCAGAATGTGGCGTAAAACTAAATCACTCACTCAGTATTGATCAAACAATCATCATATAGTGTAATGTCATGCCAGTTACGCTATGTTATGCTTGATTTGTATGAATTTTCAAGTCAAGTCTGACCCTTCAAGTACTCGAGGCCAAGAAACTGAACTCATTGAAGCCCTGTGTGTATCTCCCCACCCAGTGATATCACTGGAATACTGCTCAAAGCAGCAGTAGAGGTTCATGTGTGACAAACCCTGTCTAATATGTTTTAGAAAAAAGACAAAAGGACTTTGAAAATTTGAACTGATTCGCAGATTATTTGAATTTGTCCAGTGACCCTTCTCTTCCCAAGAGTTGTTTCTTTGATGATACAGTGTTTTGTCAATCTTCGGATTTGGTGTAATATATAATACAAGTGCAAGATATACTCATGGAAACAAATAAGGGAACACATGAAAGTACAAGTGTTCCTTTATTTATTCCCAGAATTTCACCCACAGTGCAATGCATACCTTGTGAAGAAACCTGGCAAAGCATAAAGGAACACTTGTACTTTCATGTGTTCCCTTATTCGTTTCCATGATTATATAAAACCTTTGAAATAGAGGTTTGTTGAATGTTTAAGGTTGTCCTGTTCTCAGTCAGTGGTGTGTGATTCAAGGTATCTGCAAGGAGGGTGTTGTTGCAGATGTTCCCATGAGTATATAAAACCTTTGAAAAGAGGTTTGTTGAATGTTTAAGGTTGCCCTGTTCTCAGCCAGTGGTGTGTGATTCAAGGTATCTGCAGGGAGGGTGTTGTTGCAGATGTTTCCATGAGTATATAAAACCTTTGAAAAGAGGTTTGTTGAATGTTTAAGGTTGTCCTGTTCTCAGTCAGTGGTGTGCAATTCAAGGTATCTGCAGGGAGGGTGTTGTTGCAGATGTGCAGGTTTCTGTTCACCATCGTGTGGATCTCATGCAACATGTTCTTCCTGAAAACCTAATGATGTGCAGTATTTCCTTTGTCTGACAGATTGAGCGTGTACAGACCAAGTTCCTGTGGCAGCAGTATGTTGCAAAGAAACAACAGTTGGACTCACAGAACCCAGGTCATCAGAATGAGACTGTGTTGTGGCATGGCACTGCTGTAGATGCCTATCCCAGTATCTGTAGAGGTGGCTTTAACCGCAGCTACTGTGGAAAGAATGGTAAGTTCCATCTTGGTGGTGATTCACGACATGATTAAGCTACATATGCTATATTCTCACCTCTCCTGAATACAAGTTTCAGATGAGCTTCTTTGTGGAACAAAGCCTTTAGTCATTCTCCCCATCCATATTTCTATCCATCTGCCTGTTACTGACTGGAACATTTTCTTGGCATATCATGGATTTAAGTGAGTGAGTGAGTGAGTTTAGTTATACGCCACACTCAGCAATATTCCAGCTATATGTCGGCGGTCTGTAAATAAACGAGTCTGGACCAGACAATCCAGTGATCGACAGCATGAGCATCGATCTGCGCAATTGGGAACCGATGACATGTGTCAACCAAGTCAGTGAGCCTGACCGCCCAATCCTTTTAGTCCCCTCTTTCAACAAGCATGGGGGGCGGTGGGGTAGCCTAATGGTTAAAGCGTTGGCTTGTCACGCCGAAGACCCGGGTTCGAATCCCCACATGGGCACAATGTGTGAAGCCCATTTCTGGTGTATCCCACCGTGATGTTGCTGGAATATTGCTAAAAGCGGTGTAAACTCAGTCAGTCAGTCAGTTCAACAAGCATGGGTTACTGAAGATCAATATTCAAACCCGGACCTCCATGGGTCCATGAATTTAAGACACGAAACACCTGGACAGAGCAGAAACTTTACATGGATGAAAGCAGTGAATGAGTGTAGGTTTACGTCACTTTTAGTAGTATCACTGTAGGGGGGCATCAGAAATGGAATGATAGCAGCAGTGGCCTCTCACAAAGTTTCTGACGGTGTTATTTATGCCTGGATTTGTCCATGGCCATCACTACTTTTGACAACTGTTGTCGGATGTTAAGCATCCAGCTCTGGTATCTCATCACTTTTGTTGTTACTCCCATGGCCTTTCCTGTCTGTCTGCCTGCCTGTCAGTGATCATTTTGTTTCCAGAGCATAACTGAAAAAAACACTCAATATTTTCTCTTGTATACAGACGGACACATTAGACTGAAATTCTCTCATGAAGCTGGACTTGAAATAACTGTCAGATGATTTGTTTGTTTAAATTTTTAAGGGGGTGAGTGTCATGTTCTGATCACTCTTGGTTTCAATGAATGTAGCTATCTGCTATATATACCCTGAAACGTCATGCTCCTCTATTACGAAAGTTGACATCAATAAAATCTTCCCTGGTTATATTATATCTGCATAATGAATGTTTCTCTTTGTTCAGCCACTGCACTAGGAGAGGGTGTATACTTTGCAGTTCAGGCTGCATATTCAGACAGAAATACCTACTCTGTGCCTGACGGACAAGGTCACAAGCACATGTTTCAAGCCCGTGTGCTGACAGGTATGTACTGTCGAGGACAAGGCGGGATGAGAGTACCTCCACAAAGAGATGCATCCAGGCACATCCAGTATGATTCTGTGGTAGACAATGTCAGGGGACCTGGAATGTACATCATCTTTAATGATACCCAGGCCTATCCCGAATACCTTATCACTTACATGTAATGAGATTCTTTTGTCACCTTATCTCAGTGAGATATTATGATTAAGATGGTGTAATTTATGACATGTGTGAATTCATGGTTTCTTGTAGTAATCAATTGTCAGGTAGAATTGTTCTTGTGATCATATTATTTGGAAGGTAGGTGATGGCTCGTAATTAGAATTAAATCTGAGGTAAATTGGTTAGATTGTAATCCTCCATCAGATCTGTTAGTAAAGTGATGATGCCATATTTTAAACAATATCCAATGTATTGTGTTATATTGGTAAGACCTGGAGACCTTCAATCTGATGCTCATTGTACAAGTCAACTAGGGGGATCGGGTAGTTGGCCTCGCGGACTTGATGTGGTGGGTCATGTGTCCTGGGTCCACAACACAAGGGAATGAATGGTACTTGTGATGTTTTCATCTTGCTCATCATTGGATTGTTCGTTACAGGCTCAGGTGCTTAAAGATGCTTTCTTACACCTAGATTAATATTACTGAGTACAGTATTAACCACCAAAGTAGCATCAGCTGTTGCAGAAATTCTCGAGTTCATGAGCTCATGTGAAAATTTGATCATTTTTAGTGAAATGTTTTCCTTTTTGAGTAGAGAATCTGAACTAAATCTTACTTCTTCGGGTATGTTACGGTATCATCCAATATGTTCAGCCATTACAAATTAAAGCTATTTAAACTGGCTGCATGTTATAACTTGTAACATCCTTTTTAGATGAACAGCCATAGAAAATTTCTGAAAAGTTTCAACATCTAAAATAGATGTGAATTGTTTGTACAAATATAATATTGATATAGTGTTGGCTTTGTAGCTAGGCATTTTGCATGTTGTCATGTATGTATGAACAGGCTTCTATCAACAATACTGAGTTTTGTCCATTAATCCAGAAATCCCATTGCCATTTTGGCAAAAGTTGAGAAGAATATTCTTTATATATATATTGTTATATTCTTTATAGTTAACATGTATACAGTTAAAAGATTGAGCTCATATAAATGTGCATACAGTTAACAGATGTCACTCATATAAACATGCATGTAGATAACAGATGCATACATTTAACAGGTGGAACTCATTTAAACATGCATACAGTAAACAGATGACGCTCATTTAAACATGCATACAGTTAACTGATGACACTCCTGTTAACATGTATAGTTAAAAGATTGAGCTCATATAAATGTGCATACAGTTAACAGGTGACCTCATGTAAACATGCATACAGTTAACTGATGATACCCATGTAAACATGCATACAGTTAACAGGTGGAACTCATGTGAACATGCATAGTTAACAGATGACACTCATGTAAACATGCATGCAGATAACAGATGCATACATTTAACAGGTGCAACTCATTTAAACATGCATACAGTTAACAGGTGGAACTCATGTGAACATGCATAGTTAACAGATGACACTCATTTAAACATGCATGCAGATAACAGATGCATACATTTAACAGGTGCAACTCATTTAAACATGCATACAGTTAACAGATGACGCTCCTCTTTACGTGCATTTAACAGATGAAAATAATGTAAAAATGCATACTATTAACAGATGACACTCATGTTAACATGTATACAATTAACGTCTATATTATGATGGAATAACTAGTATTACAGTTATTTAGAGCTTATAAATAATAGATATCAGATATGTGTTGATGGGAAATACAGCTTTACGGTCATGTTTGTTACTGGTTTTCACAACCAATGTTTGTGAAAAATTGAAAAATCAGTGAGTTAGATCATATGAGTCTATGACTTAGAGAAGCAAAATGTGCTTCAGCCAATACATCATGACAAAAGTGTACATCTGGAGATGATCTTCTGTACCTAAGTTCATTGATCTGTGATACAAGAGATCAGAGGTGCCATTCCACTGATCTCCATATACTGAGTTGTATGTTTATATGTTCCTTATTATAGTAACATGTAAAGTTTTGTTCAAACGTTTAGTGTCTGCATTAACTTTTTAACTCCAGTTTCTATAACGGATATGATTCTGACACTTCAAAGCCTTATTTCCTGACTCTTATTTCTGATCCACATGAAAATGTCTATGATATAATTTTTGCTATGTCATTCTGTCATTTATGAGGTAGAGTTTCAAAATAGATGTACTTTTTCAAACTTTTTCCAATTGCGGTCTGCTTTTTACTCGATGTTTTCAGAGTTTTGATGCTAACATGTCAATCATGATGGTTGTGTAAGATTAGCCTTCAGCACAGCCAGTTATATATGTGCATTATTGTGACCATGGCCTTGACTGTTGTCTGGTTTTTATCCCCCGCAAAGCGTTTTGCGGGGGGTATTAAAATGGACTCTTTTCCAGAGCATAACTCTAGAACCCTTCAATGTTTCTTCACTTCACCAAACTTGGCACATAGATAGATCTGGTGGTGTACTGGTGCCTTTTGGTAGTTTTGGAATTCTGAATAAAATATTTTTGGCGTTTCCATGGCAACAAGTCGACTTAGACTGAAATTGGTGGTTGTGCTCTTTTCCGGAGCAGAACTCTAAAACCGTTCAATATGTCTTCACCAAACTTGGCACATAGATAGATCTGGTGGTGTACTGGTGCCTTTTGGTAGTTTTGGAATTCTGAATAAAATATTTTTGGCATTTCCATGGCAACAAGTTCGACTTAGCCTGAAATTGTGGTAGTGCTCTTTTCCGGAGCTGAACTCTAAAACTGTTCACTATTTCTTCACCAAACTTGGCACATAGATAGATCTGGTGGTGTACTGGTGCCTTTTGGTAGTTTTGGAATTCTGAATAAAATATTTTTGGCATTTCCATGGCAACAAGTTTGACTTAGCCTGAAATTGGTGATAGTGCTCCTTTCTGGAGCAGAACTTTAAAAACCTTTCAATACTATCCTTCCACTTTTCTATATACACACCTAAATATTTGACATAATCATAACTCATAGACATAATCATGAAGAGTATTTTGCCATTGCGGGGGATATTGATGACTTTGTCTTTTTGTTGCTGAATTTTGTGTAAAGATGTATCTCAAATTTGGTTATATATTCCAGAAACATTTTGATAAGCTACAGAACCTTTTGGCTGTATTTTCAGAAACACCACATTCATGCCTAGTGGAAAACAAAAACAATATTTATACCAGTAAGATCAAGCGGACATCCACAAGGTGTTCAATTTTTTTATCACATCATGAAATCATCATCCTGGTCTGGCCAAAGACACAATGTTGCCAACAGAGTACTTAGTGAAATGTTTATTACATTATATCTATATAGTCCTATAGTCCATCCCATCTAGATGCATGCTCAATATGATGTGTGTGTTGAATTATGTATGAGCTTCAGCACAAACCCTGGCGTTTGTGAAATAGTACCCGTGATATTTTTCTTCTCTTGGATTCAACATGACAGTGCTATACATGCTTTGTATGTTACATTAGTCCCTTTATCTTTTTGTACTCCCATCACATAGCTCAGTTCTGCTGAGTGTAGTTCATTCAAGATTATTACGGAATATCCTTTTATTCACATTTAGTTGTTAGGTTAACCTGGACTCAAAGGACATCCTAGCAGAGTCATCATCAATAAACATTTTAAACTTTGTACCTTCTTTTGATGAAGTAGTGTATTCATTCACCTTAAAATTTGTATTTATGTTTGTACAAGACATCAAAATTTCAACTTTTTTATGGTGGCTAAGTAACCATGTTTGAAAATTGAAAAATCTACATCAAATGGTTTGAGATTCTGAGGTGTAAAAATCGGTGAATGAGATGATGACTTTGTATTTTCAATTTTGTTAATAGAATTTTAATCAAAAATCAGATTTAGCTGCCATCAGTCATTTTAAACAACACTGAAAACAATGCATCTGGTTTCTGTTTTGAGTTGTATTGTTGTTGGTTTGTCAAGTGACAAGGTATATGAAATATACACAACATTGTTTGGTCCGCTGATGTCCATTTGATATACAGAAATAAAATGTGATGCTCTTAATGTTTCTTTTGCTTGGATTTGATGGGACTGTGGTTGATTACCTGAATGTTAACCTGATTTAGCTGGACAAATTGACCTAATGTTAACAGAAAGCAGATCTGTATTTTATTGCAGTAAAAGGTCAAGGTGCTTATGTTATTGGCCCTCTATGTGATACCATCACAGAAAGTGTCTCCAGTTATGTCCCATTCATGCTTCTATTGACTGGTTAAGGTTGTTGTGTGATGTACAATGTCAAAGGTACCACGGCTTGTTTACCCTGTGGCTTCTGGTAATGGTAGCAATTATTAACTACAAGCATGTCATTAAATTGGGTATGTTGTCATTTGTCTTTCCTATATATTAGCCTGTACTTTGTCTCTAAAGATATGCTCTCTACGAGGCTGCTTTTGCTTCAATAAACTACTCTAGAAGAAACTGTTTGTGAATGTTATTTGTCCTGGTCATTATGTCAACTTTATTTGCTGCTGTTTTCAATATGGGCCCATGCACCTGGACATCTGTGTCTGTTGTAATGTCAATAAATGAGTTTTCAGTAGAGATCTGAAAATGTGTATTTCTATTGGGAGTGATTGTCTTTTGAAAAGCGTGTGTCACCAGGCGATGAGGGTCCTGTTAATAATATTGCTCTTTATACCATTGTCAGGCAAGCCTGTGCTGTTAACTTTTGGATCATTTGTTATTTGATGACACACTTAGCAATTTTCTAGCAACGGTGGTCTGTTAACAGTTGAGTCATCATGATCATTGATCTACTCAACACGGATATTATTACATGCATCAGCCAATGATGTCATCGAGTCTGACCACCCAATGCTTGATGATGCTGCTATATTTATTTTCATTTCAATTCATTAGACTTTTCTTATATGTATGAATATAATATACACACAAAGAACTTAATTAAGCACCCCCTGTATTTTTGCAGTGATAGGTTTTCAACACGTACATACAACTTCTGGTGACCACGATGGAAAAATATGAGTTTTTCTGACACGTATTATCCTTTGACTCATATAAAACGACAAAATGGTTGGAATCCATGTTGATTTTATGATGATAATTGCACATTTATTTTCATACAAAACCATACTTGTACAAGTATGGCCCTGGAATGTTTAATGTTTAATTTACTGGTGAATGTGAACATTCAAAATGTCATTTTTCATGTCTTACACTATTCAAGGTCAATACTGAGTGTAACCTCCATGTGATTGTATAACAGCCAGCAGCTCCTCTCTTCATATCCCTGCAACCTCTGTCTACACTATTCCTCGTGTAAAGCAGTTTCCAATTTGTCCAGTTTCTGTACAGGAGGATCCCTTTGTTGCACACAACGACCAATCATGTCACAGATATCCTCTCAAAGGGTTAAAATCGGAGCTTATTCAATCGTGAGATATGTCAAGTGGTGCTTAAGTAGGTTCTTTGTGTATATATTATAGTAAGATTTTTTTCAATTTTCTACTGAATTTTTCTGTTTGTGTACTCTGTTCGTTCAGTTCTGTTCACGTGTAAACACGCTTTGCAACAATGGCACAACGCATTCGCCAAAGGTGACAGATAATTTTTCTTCTGAGTTAAAGTGTTGTACGTGGTTGCATCAGATTATATCTGCAAAGAGACACAGATCAAGTGTAGACTTGGGTCAAATCTCACCAACACGTGGATGCATCTCTTTCATACTGGTTTGGATGGTCACGCTAAAGACCCAGCTTCGATTCCCCACATTGGTGCAATGTCCAGTCATAGTGTCCGCAGCCGTTATATTGCTGGAATATTGCTTAAAAGTGGAGTAAGACCATAACCAACCGCTTAATCAAACTGCCTGGCGACATTTTGCTCACTTGGATCGATTCTGACAAAAAGGAATGCGTAAGGAATGAGTTCTGGGGCTTTGTTCCTCCCTCCAGTGTCCATTCTGAATTGGTCAGTGGAAACACTGATTGCTACGTTCTTCTGCTTTTCTGAAAGAACCCCCACTCTGATGTCTAAGGGGTGGCAGGATGGAGGTCTAAAAGGTGACGATGGGTAAAACCAATTGGTATATCTATGCAGAGTTGAGCCGGGACTGTTCGTGGAACTCCTTGTTTTGTCAGGCGTCTAAGTAAGAAAATACACCTACCAGGTTGTTTTGGGGCAACCGATTATTTCCATGAAACTCGGTGGAAAAGCCTGTACGAGAATCCAATAGTCTTGAACAGTCGTGTATGATATAACATTCAGTGCCGTCTTGTCATTGGTCGACCAGTCAGGTCTGTCGGATAATGTTGCTTCTAAACGTGTTATCGCTTCGATTTAATCATTCTTACTCAAGCATTATCCATCTTATATGAAAAAGTTTTAAAACATACTACATTGTGTATATGGTTTAAAAATTGTAACATGAAAATTGAAATTAAGCCATTTATGCATATTGTCCTTTTTGGGGGGGGACGGGTACTTAAAAAAAGCATTCCTCTGTTATTGTTTAGGATGGAGACTTGCAGCATAGAAGACTTCATGAATGAAGCTGAGTAAATTGTTCAGTGGTTGAACCATTCACGTCCCTGTAAGCATGGCGAGCTCCAGTGGCAAGCCCGCTCCCCTGCCAATTCGGCGAAGTGTGAGGTCAGATGATTTGTTTCTTGGTTCCAATTTTAACCATGTAAGTTCATTAGAGTGTGTTTAAACATTTCGTTATTCAAATGGAAAAATAAAATGAAAATGGTTTGCATTTTTCCTTACTCAATTTTCCGGAACATTACCGTCCCCAAAATGGGACAATATGCAGATTAGTGTACTTATTTTATGTAACTGGTTAGGATCTGTATGATCAACTTCCCAAACCATGTATCATCATGAGCGATCTGAACGGACACAACCCGCTTTGGGAAGCGTCCATACTAACCATAAAGGTAAAACCCTTGAGGAATTTATTTCAGAGAATAACCTCTGTATATTTAATGAATCAAACACTAACCTCCATCGAGCTACTGGAACATATTCTGCCCTCGACCTTTCACTCACTGATTCAACCTTGTATAATGAATTTGAATGGATGGGCCATGATGACCTATGTGGTAGTGATCACTCCTCCACAATTCTTCAAACTCTCAACATTGGTGATGATCCTCCTTTTTCAAGAAGGAACTTTACCAAGGCTGATTGGTCATTATATAAGACTCTATGTATTGAACATCTAAAACATGATCTTTTTCATCAACAGTGAGGATGCTGTACAGTCGTTTTCGGGTATACGTAATGACATTGCTGACAAAACAATTCCACAGTCCGCTGCAACTCCACATATTCGTACACCATGGTGCAATAATGAATGTACACAGACCAGAAAGTGCAGAAAGAAAGCTGAAAAGTATTTTCGACGACATCCTACAGTGCATAATTTGACTAAAGTTAAAATCTTAAATGCCAAGCCTCGACGCGCATTTAAACAGAATAAGCGTCAGTCTTGGAGAACATATGTTTCCAAATTAAATTCACGCACACCGATTTCAAAGGTGTGGAACATGGTACAAAGAGTAATGGACAAAGGTTCAAAATCTACCGTTCACCATTTGAAGGAAGGTGACAATTTATTAACTGACAGAGCTTTGCCAACAAACTTGCTGACACTCTCGCCAAGCATTCGTCTTCAGTTTCACAAACATCAGCAACAACAGGAAATTCACAACTTCTCAAAACTTTTGTGATGTACTCTGAGTACAAAATACTATTTAATGAAGCAAACTAAATCTATCATTATATTTTCTCTATATAATACTTACAATGGCATTCCGAGAAATATTTACCCAAGGCCCTTCACTTCCTCCTCCTCCACAGACATGTACACTAGTTCTGCCATTTTAACGCGCGTGTGAATGCACCTACCCAACCCTGTACCCATCTATGCATATCGTCCCATTTGTAGGACGCACTTTTGCAGTGTAAAGAAAGTACGAAAAATATTATTTACTGGTCAAATGACACCCCATTCCTTCCATTGCTTGCCAAAAGAAACTAACTAAAAAAATTGATGAAAATCTAAGATCCTATGCATATATGGGTTCAAATGCAGCAACAATTTACTTGCAGTCACACAATCCCCTCGCACGTTTAACATCTACCAGTCTCCTCCTCCTCATACTTGCAATCAAGGATTGGATTCATAGAGTGTGTACGTCAATTCCTGCAGATTTTGAACAGTAGGATCTCTAGCTGGAACTTGGTATCCCAAAGACGTTCGGTGATGTTCATATCCTGGATTCTTGCGGACCACGATAATGTTTCGATGGCATTGATCTGCAAAGGGGTAATGGCGGCTCGAGGACAGTGAGGTCTTGTCATCAGTGAATATCCGACGACTGGCGAGGTGATGGTTAGCAAAATGTGGCACGACGGCTGTATCTAATAGTTCCTTTCATAACGGCGGCCGCTGAGTGTCCCAGGTACTGGAATGAAATCCAACTTGCTGTCATACGTAACGCAACCCACCACCATCACTGAGCCCCCACCAAAGTGTTCAGCAGCATGGATATCGATAATTTCTCCAGGTGATATGCTTCGTTACGACATCTCCAGACGCGACAACGACGTCAGTAACGTGTAGAAGCTCGCAACTTTCATAAGGCCAGTGAACCCTTCGTCATGTACTCAAGATGCGTTTTTCACGGAGCATGCACTGCGTCAGACGTTCCTGCCTGTGCCAATCTGTGAGAAAAGGACGTCTGATTGGGCGAAGTTCCTTGAGAACAGCAACCCGCCATTTCCATCAGATGGTATTGTGGAGTCCCACTCTCTGTTGCATGGTACGGGTAAATGGGATTGCATCTTGGTTGCCCGATGAATTCAGTCATCATGGTCATTGGCTGTCGTTGGTCTTCTAGGTCTTGGAGGATCCTTCACTTTATCGGTGGTCACGTTGACAAATAACATTGTGGCTTATGTTCGTGCCGATGTTGCGACAGGACATCTATGCGTCGTACATGCACATTATTTTTCTGAAAGTCTGTGTAAATCCGTAAAAGATGTAATTTATTGCTGCTGTAATACCATTCCGCTTCTTCCAGTGATTCATCAGAGTGAGTGAGTGAATATGATCTTACGCCGCTTTTAGCAACATTCCAGCAATATCACGGTGGGGACACTAGAAATGGGCTTCGCACATTGCACCCATGTGGGGAATCGAACCTGGGGCTTCGGCGTTACGAGCGGACGCTTTAACCACTAGGCTACCCCACCGCCCCGGTGATTCATCAGAGGAATAACAGTGTTTCGCAAAATGCAGCTTAGCAGCCTCTGTGGCAGACCGTGTCCCAAACATCCTTTAAGCGTCTTGGGTTGCCTTCTCCGTTAGTAACATAGCATATCCAACATGCCCACCCTTTAACATTGCTGGTGACATTTCAGATGAAACGAGCATCATTAGGGTTCCGTTTCACAAAACAACCTCGAGGGGCCTTAGAGTTATGACTGCCGTATGTCCATGTAAAGGTATTGGAGTTTCGACCCACATCACTTTGTACCCGCACTATCTGTCATCATGTCTAATCTGTGAGAGTGAGTGAGTGAGTGAGTGTGTAATGAAACATCACAAGAAACACTACTTTACCATGGCCTTAACAGACGACCTCTCGTACCTTCCATGAAATGTCACAAGATTGTGTGTGCAAACTACTTTACCATGGCCTTCGCGGATGACCCATCTTACATCCCATGGTGCGGTGGGATAGCCTAGTGGCTAGGCGTTCGCTCGTCACCCTGAAGACCCGGGTTCGAATCCCCACATGGGTACAGTGTAAAGCCAATTTCTGGTGTCCCCCACCGTGATATTGCTGGAATATTGCTAAAAGCGGCGTAAAACCAAACTCACTTACCCACTCTTACCTTCCGTGAAACGTCACAAGATTGTATGTTAACTTTACCATGACCTTCACTGATGACCTTTCTTGCCTTTCACGAAACATCTACTACGTAACTAACTCATAAGCTTAAGAATGTGAGATTTGTTCAGGTGTTTTTCTTCCGGTAATATATCAATTACTTCACCCTATACACATGTTAGGAATATACATTATTTAACACGGTAAGGTTATGATTATAACACTACTGCCGCGCATTTGTTGTGGCAAATGTTACGTGCACCGGTGCAGCCTAGATATGGCGAAATCTCTGTCATCGTTGATGATTAATACGACTATAACGTCACACATAACAGTCGCATTGTGTCAGAAAATATATCACAGTGCTTACAATAACCGCCCCTGGGATCTAATCTAAACGTACATAAGGCTTATATGACCGAGACGCATCATAACTTAAAAATATAGAATATATCAACATGCATGAATTCCGTCTGTCTTGCCCCGAAAACACGGGACAATGAGGGTAAACACAAACAAGAAACAACCTGTCTCCATTTGGATAAGAAATCATCCATGACGATTTCAGTCGACTGCACAAGTGTTGAATTGACTGGTGGTTACGCAGTAGCATCTTGCCGAGGCGGGGGCGGGAGAGGAGATAGCAGCCGACTGACGAGGAGGGGCAGCCGAGAAAGTGGGAGGGACAGTTTCTGGAGGAGTGGAAGTGTGGAGACTTCTCGTTGGAGAACAACTCCTGCTCGCAAGATTGTAAACAGTGTCTCTATATTTGTAGCAGCGCTGTTTTTTTCTCTGACTGGACGCTGTACACATATGTGAATCAGTACATGTTGTGAGCCAAAGAGCAACCATTCAACGCGGACTTTGTCGTTTGTGAAGGACAGGTGAGTCAGTGAGTTTGGTTTTACGCCGCTTTTAATATATTCCAGCAATATCACGGCGGGGTACACCAGGAATTGGCTTCACACATTGTACCCATGTGGGGAATCGTACCCAGGTCTTCAGCGTGACGAGCCAACGCTTTACCCACTAGGCTACCACCCCCACCCAACACCCACCCCTCAGATCGACAAGGCCATACTGACAGGTTTACAATTTGATTTCAAAAGTATTTGACAATTATTTCGTTCACACATTTTGACTCACCCGTGAAGATTCGGGTTAAAATTGATCTTCAGCAACCCATGCTTGTCGTAAGAGGCGACAGACGGGATCGGGTGGTCCCGCTTGCTGACTTGGCTGATATATGTCATCGTATCCCAGTTGCATTAATCGATGCTCATGATGTTGATCACTGGATTGTCACTGGTCACTGATCACTGGTCGAGATTCGATTTTTTACAGACAGCCGCCATGTAGCTGGAACACTGTTGAGTGTGGCGTTGAACAACAAACAAACCTAACTGATTTCAGCATTATTTGACGTACGGAAAGACTCAAAACCATGTCTTAACTATGAACTTTTCTCCCCCCACACAGCAATGACATCTGAAAACGGTCCGTGGGTCGACCATCTGCCAAAGGAAATAAATGTCACAATCCCCCTAACATCTGAAGATGAAGAAAATGGCAACAAAATCAACCATTTGCCTCGAACGAGGAAGATCCTATACGGCATTGACGATACACCAGGGACGTGCCTGTTGCCTTTGTTTGCCCTTCAGGTAGGCGAACCGTTTACTGTTAACTTTCTCTGCTGTTTAATGCCTCCCTCAGCATTATTCCAGCTACATGACGGCGGTCTGTTAATAATCGAGCCTGGGACAGACAGTGGTCGACATGGATCTAGACCATTGGCAGATGATGATATGCATCAACCAAGTCAGCGAGCCTGACCTCGAGGTCCTGGATCTTCACGGGTCCTGTGTTTGTATGTCCATCTGCGTAGTGTTCAATATTGCATATTCTATTTACATTTCGAGGGACAGCGATACGAGTATGAACAGCATACAGGTACGTTAGACCTAAACATGTGACCGACACGTTAGTAACATAGTATAGACCCACATGGAGTAAATTACCAAAGAAGAAGCTCCTCTGGAACGTGTTCAGATATGGCGATAAAACGACCAAATCTTAGTTCATAGGAATTTGTCAAACCGCTCGAGTGATGAATTCGGTTAATCATTACTCCTTTCATTATTTTCATATTTGACATTTAATGGTGTATATTTCATTTATTCCATAGCAATTGAAGCAAATCAACAGCCTTATAACATCTTTTGAGAAAATCCATTTGCCGAGAAAAACGTTCCTGGAACTTTTAGATAAGAAATGATGAACGTCGTGTTGGTAGCATGCTCGAAACTGTATGAAGCAAAGGGAAAAACCCTTTAATGTCTTTTGGGAAAATCCATTTGCCCAGAAATGTTTTTTAGAGCTAGTCATTAAAAATGAAGCTGTATAACGGTAATAGCATCAATAAAGATTTAATCTGTTGTGTTTTAATACATCTGTGGCGTAATAGTCCTCCCCTCCTTGCGGATGTGTTTCTTTATGTGCATGAGTCAGAATTTCTGCTCGGGTTGGCAGTTAGGCCGTCCGTATTTTGTTCTGTGTTTCTCATCTCCCGACCGACCCAAATTTTCCTTCCGACAGAACAAAAACAAATAATTTTATTTTACAAAATGCTGTCGACAGCAATAATTTCAGCCCGATCAAACGAAAAATGTGTCTTAAAGTCAACTTTGAACAAATGTAACATTTTGAAAAGTCTCTCAAGCATCTAAATGGGCGATCTTTTTTAATTTATCTTCCCTTCACTAATCCGCTTGGAGCGCTGATCCGGACGGTCCAACCTTAAACTGACAGCGCATGTCGTATGCGCGATGGGAGCTGTTCTTTTACTAAACACTTAGAGACAGTTAACCAGTACAGCCTTCACCATCACCGTTAACGTTCACGTTGGTGCATACAGTATATCTTTTCCCTTGACTGATGATATATCAAGTGTGATATCCTGAAATATCTGTTCCGTGATTCCATGATACACCGGGGATAGCCATGACTGCTTATATTGCATTAATGAATCGCAAAATGGCCATTCGTAGCGAGGCGGTGGAATCAGCTGATCGTTTTCAGGTCATGTTTTGTGATTTTGTTGACGTTTTGCAATCGGTAATTAAAATCTGGCACTACATGTCTGAATATCATTCTTTTAAGTCTGCAGTGTATTTTTGTGTTTGTACTCAAATCTATATCGTATTACGCCGATTAGGCTACATTCATGTAATGCAGTACGGTCGGGAGCTGATTCTGTGCGCGAAATGTGAACACATTGTTATGCAACGTGTGAATTTCGTCGTGAATTTTATCTGATATTTTTGTATGATGGTGCGTGTGTACTTTAATATTACATTACACATGCATTACACTTTATTCAGTCATTGTACAACAGTATTATCTGTTAAATTTGTAATAAGAATATGCATACACATATCTACATGGAATTTATGTCATAAAAAACATTTGATTTTAAACACATTTTCTGTGTTAATTCCTAACAAACAGACATAATACTTAAGCAACCAGTGAGCTACCAGTGGACGACAGCCTTTGACCGGTGGCCAAAAAAACTACAAAAAGTGATAAATCTCTCCAAAAATAAAGAAAGTGCCAGAAAGTGCCATTTAAAGAGGCTCTATTAAAAGTTTGTAGCATAATTATTCCATTTAGCTTCCTTATGTTTAATGATATATGAACTGTCTAAAATTGAGAAAAAAGGATTCTCACAATAAGAAAAGCCTCTTTTTATGGTCTGGGTACTGGAGGAGGGTCATTATCTGTCACCAGCTTGAAAAGAAGATGGCAAACTGCTACTTCTTCTTTTTTTCTTTTTTTTGCATTTTTTTTTTTTCGCCGCCCGCCCGCCCCTCATCAGCACCAGTTTGGAGATGAGAAACATAAAAAAGTGGATGGCCTTACTTTGCTCAAGAGGTTTCAATTAGGCTTCAGCTATAGCGTTGCCCTGTTATCATTCAATAAAAGTCAAATAGCCGATTCCATACAACCGAGTCACACACCGGAACTTGAAAAAACGGAGACCCGCTAGACAGCAATGGACATCCAGAGTGATAACAATATCTCTCCACAAGGCTTCAACTTTCCAATGGGTGACTTTACTTTCATGCTCCTCGCTTCATACAGCATTCCAACAGCTCCAGCCTTTGGTGTTGACATTTCACGCGTATTCTGTAACAATCAAAACGCGAGTTTTGGGGAATCAGCTCTGCTTGGCAAGAGGTCTGCCCATACCAACCCACACAACAACACAACACCTGAGTAAATAAACAAGGAGTTTATTACACAGCAGTCACTGAACGATCTTACATAATCAGTCAATAATAGCATAGTTTACAATTAATTATTAGAACATGTTCACAATGCAATCGGATATCAAAGTACATAAACATCACATGTAGATTCGTTATACACGACACATACTACATTAATCACGATACTTATTCCAATGTACACAACAATAGTTCAATACACTACACAACGTAATACAATAGTTAAAATATCCGACACACTCTATACATTCTATAATAGTCACAAAACAGTGTAGTGTCAATCAGTATTAAGTAAACAATCCTAAACTGTAATACAGAAGATATGAGACACATACTAAGGGATGCCTCGTTCCACATAAACCTGAAGGTACTGCCAGGGTTGTAACTTATAGTTAAGGTATTTACAATATATTAAAGTTAACATAGAATAACAATGGTATATATGTCAAAGTAGAAGAAAGTAAAGTTTCTTACCTGAGTAAATAAACAAGGAACAACTAGAGTTCTTGATCTCCATTCGGGTCCTATGGGCATGGTACCAGACTCCGATGACCAGCGTGGTGACATATAATCGTATCCTGAATACATTAGCGTCATTCTTTCCTGGTCATTCTTTAACCAGTGCCCCATTGGAAGTGTCCTTCCTTTAAAGACTGTTGGTTCATTATAACAGCAGATTCATAAACAATGCACCAAAACTACCTTGGGTATAATGTGAACAAGAAAAAAATAGGCGATATCATTTGGATAGTCGAGTTCACGCAATGCGTGGGTGAAACGATGATCCACTTGCTCTCATGCGCCATACGTAGCTCTGCAAATCTCCTGCTGATTCCCAAGGCTGCCAGGACCGTTTATTTTGCGTACCGAATTCAAGAACATCCCTAATTACATTATGGTGTTTGACTCTGCCTGTCATGGCTGAGCTCTTGAATGTCATAATAGTGAAAAAACTTCCACGATCTGATGTTATCACTGTTTTTTCAGTGATCCAACCATATATTTTCATAACTGTTTTGCTCTCTACCCCCAAAGGAAACGGATGAATCTCGCAGTAAGACTAAACAAAGACACAAAACAAGCAGGATCCAAAGGTTAAAAATATAACGTATGGACGTGGTCATATTATTCTTCAAATCCCCAAAATACACACCACTTAGGAAGCCACGATATTCCAGTAGACCCATAATAAGGCAGTCACTATGTTAAAAATCATCTCGTTTCAGCAACTGATGACGAGTATTGGTGCAGTGATATCAATCCCTCTGCTCACTTGCACAGTCATTTGTGCAGATGACCTTCCAGAGGTAAAGGCTGGAGTAATAAGCATCTCGTTCTTTGTGTGCGGGATAGGGACGATTCTCCAGAACATCTTCGGAGTCAGGTACGTCGTGTTACACATACATCAGCAACATTTTGTCTGAATTGTAAATTGCAAGGATTTAGGGAGAAACAGTTCATATAATGTTAATTTTAAAATAGTTTTGGAGAAGAATACCATTGTGCTGGCATCCAGTAGTGTTCATCAAATGTAACTTTGTAACATCTCAAAAACAAGAAAAATAAAGTTTAAAAGATATTTGTTTTCCATGAATGAAATATTATCAAACAATTATGGTGTTTGGAAGGGCTCAGTGTGGTTCCGAACACTAAATACTATCAAATTGGCTGTAAACCATGTAGATATTTATTCATGAAGAATATGGGCTATTCACATCTGTTGATGCCAAAGGCATATCATATTTGTTACGTGTAGGATATTCTACAAGTCTAGTAGGTATGTTTTAGACTGGTCAGAAATGATTGTGGATATAGAGAAATTATGTTCCCTACAATATTTCAGATTACCCATTATCCAAGGAGCGTCTCCAAATTTCCTGGCAGCAATTATCTCGATGATGGCGGCAGACAGGTGGAAGTGTTCAACCGAAAGTAATCTGAAACTTTGAAGTATAGCCCAACGGCCTCCTTATCATGTCCATTGACACCCGGGTCTGCGTTAATTATCAGCTACCCCGTTCATACAATTTACATTTTATGCCGGATAAAATCGAAACACATTATTCTCCGGCGCTGTTGTTTTATATTTACCTGCTGAATGTTCATGATTTCAGCAGAATCATAAAGAGTGTCTGCACATCGGCTTTACGATGCATATATCAGTGAATCAACTACAGAAGGTCCACCCGTAATTCAGAACAACCACGTGTGTTTTCAGCAATGGGATAGTCACAAAATATCATAGTGATGAAATGAGAAGCCTATGATGAAATCCATTCCATCTTACCAATTCTTATTCCGAGGAGCCACGAATTAATCCTGAGTAAAATCTCAGAAACAAAAGCGTCCAGGACACCGAAGTCCAGGGTGCCGTTCCACTAACCGATCTTAGCCCTACGCCAATCGTAAAACCCTAAAATCCCAATCTTAGAGTGACGTTACGATCGGCTTACCGTTCCACTAACCAATCTTACCCAAGTCAATCGGAAAGTTAAGATCCAAAGTCTAAGTTGCTCATGACCAACTTAGGATCGCTAAAATCAATCGTAGAGAAACCAAAGTGGTGGCTTTCAAAAGTGACTGGCTTTTTAGTTTTACGCCGCTTTTAGCAATAGTCTATACGAAGAAGAAGAAGAGCGAGCATTTCACCGTGAGCGTCCCTAAAATCCCCATGAAATGAATTTGAATATTTCTGTGATGTAAACAAACACTGCACTGAAGCCTTACAAATGTCAGGCCAGTCTGACCACTGTCGTCATAGGAACACAACCGAGCGAGTCGGTGTAACACATTTGTAAACAATATTGCAACGTCATGGGACAGTTGTGAAGTGAACAATGTTCTGAAGCAAAAAGATACAAATATGTTTGATTTCACTGCGCATATTTGGTGGGGGATTCTAAAGGCAGGCCGCGTGTTATTCAAGTTATTATAGCCTCCTCACGGCTTGTTAATTCTGATTGACAAGGTTCAGGCACATATTAAAAGCTCTGACACAATTGACATTTTTAAAGTTCAGACTTAAAACCTGTTCTCAGTATATTACTTATAATCTCGGCTGTAAATACTCTCGTGTAAATTATCTGTACATAGCGCTTTGAGCATGCCCCAGGATGTGGAATAGGGGCACTATAAATATGCATTTATTATTATTATATTATTATGCCTGATACCCAGCGTTCACACGCACTTGCACCTGAAACCAAGGTGCTCACTACCCTAATATTTTAGATTATTTAAAGACCGCCGCCATATAGCTGGACTATTGCTGAGTGCGGCGTAAATCTAAACTCACTCACTCACTCAGTTGGTTCGTAAACTACTTCCATCATTTGCTAGACTATGCAAAGGGAGATAACTCGTGCCACGCATTCCTCTATCTCTCGCGAAAGAGTCTCGATCTAAGCTTGGATCGGATCGTAAGATCGGGACCGGCTACGATCGGCCTAAGATCGGGTCGTGGAACGCGTGTAACTTTAGCTAAGACGATTGTAAAATTGGCGTAACTTGCTAAGATTGATCTTAGATAAGATCGGTTCGTGGAACGGCACCCAGGACAAACAAATGTGAAAATATCACAACTCATATGTGTATGAACAAAGATAAGCCGTTCCATACTTATCAAACGGCATCTGATCATTACTGTCATTTGTAGGCGCCATCAACCTTGTAATATGTACACACGTAAAGAGATGAAGTCACACACACATATATACCTTTTGGTAGGGACAACCGGAAACGTCTGATAGATTACTTCGTTTACTATGGATAATTTTACTGTATTCACTACAGGACGAACAAGCACAAGAGTGTACGACAGAATAGCTCATTCAATGACGTTTTTGAAAAAATCCTTATGGGTTTGTTTCCTTTCCTCGAGACGATTTTTCTGCCATGTAATGGGATCGCACTTTCATCATATCTGCTCGTGATTGTATCGGTGCCACTGATAAATCCGTGCTATTGATATGCTCATATTGAATTTCTGCAGTTCCTGTATCTCACACGGTCAATGGGACAACTGATCTGCCATGGGTAGTGCGAGTGAGAGAGGTAAGATGTCTTCCCAAAATTACCACAACGCCAAACATGCCGTTATATGAAATAGATTATGTCAATATAGTCAACAATGGGTCATTTGTATACTATTGTAACATAATGTTGTAGAAAACGCCAGGAATAAAGTCATAAAATGAATGAATACAATTTCAGCATAATATCTTACAGATCCAAGGTAACCTAATGCTGGCATCTCTGACACAGATTGTGTTGGGGGCAACTGGTGTTGTGGGCTTGTTGCTGAGATTCATTGGGCCTCTGACCATCGCCCCAACTATTGCACTGGTTGGTGTGTCTCTCGCCCCGCTAGCTGGTTCGCTATGCCAGGACCAATGGGGAGTCAGTATTGGGTAGGACTTTTATTGATGACACGTGCTTTGGCCTCATATCTGATGCTTCCATTTAAACTTCTTTGAGCATATCTTAATATTGACCCATGTGGTTATTCTCAACTAATACAGTTCAGTGCAATTCAGATATATATTATTTTAGGAAAAGGTTGTTTTGTTGAAATGCATGACCTTCGCCAGTCACTCGGTTATGTCGCAATCGTGTAATACTACCTGGTGGTCAGTTAACAATAGACTGTAACTGGTTCTCGTCTCAAAGCTTCATCAAACTTTATGTTGGTTTTCATGTGGTATATTACACGACCATTTCTAATGTTTACTTGCAGAACAATGCTTCTGGTAGTGTGCTTCGCGTTGTTCCTTGGGGAATACCAAATTGCAGTTCCCGTGTATACAAGACAGGAACGGTGCCATATTAACCGTTATCCCATGTTTCAGCTTATACCTGTAAGTAAATAGATGACCTTTCAGGATTATTTCACAAAGTGCAGTTTGTTATGTGGTGAATATTCGTGATGTCTGATAACATAATAATATCTACCGACCTTTATTTGAAATAAGAATTAGGAAAACAAAGATAAAATACGAATCAATTTCAAAAGGAATTGTGATGGACCAGTATGGTTGACACGAAATCTCCTTTTTCAAGGTCTTGCTATCAATTGCCATCATGTGGATCCTATGTTGTGTGCTGACACAAACTGGCGTGTTTCTAGCAACAGCACAGACTCTGGTTTCCAGGCCAGGACAGATTCAAGACTCCACGTCGTAAAGGATGCCCCGTGGTTTAACTTCCCATATCCAGGTACAAGTGAGATGTAACAGACAAACGACTCAGTTATTTTCTCATGCATTGAGATGCATGGCCGTAATCACTGACCCATGGTGTCTCCAGGTTACAGTCACCGGGTACAGACCACAACTGTTTCCAGAACCTTCCATTGGCATCCACGGGAGGCCGTTTATCATGTTCACCATCACCTTTTGTTTTAGAATGCCCGTAAAAGTGTTTTTCATTTTAACAGAGTTAATCTGTTTGGTAAAATTGTGTTTTGTTTTCCCCAACCTTTATTTTTGCGGAAAGGACAATCAACTCTTAGGAGAAATATGTTTTCTTTCGTTGTTTTGTATTTCAGTTAAATCTTTTTCCAAATTACCTTTTGCCTTTTTGACATGGGATTCCCTGATGATTTTAGTTTAAGGCACAGCTCAATCCATGAAATGTATTTTCTAGCTTCGGTTAGTTTTTCTTTCTTGAAACCGGTTTTTCTCTGGTGCTTTATTATTAGTATCAGATGCTTTTCTTTGGAAACTGTTTGTCGTTCCTCCAACGTTCGAGCATTATTAATTCCAGTATCATCACGAGGGGCATTTGACATCCTCATCAAATGCTGCATCCATGTGGGGAATTGAACCTGCAGATTCGGCGTGAAGACAGCACGCTTCAAATACGTTAAAGCTCACATGCAACGCAAAACACAACTTTGCAGATTCTGACACCTTTCGGTATGGCCTTATAATAACAAATTATCCAAAATGCAAATTCAGAATATATAGTTGAAAAATAACGCGATGAAAAAATTCCCGCGAAATCGGAGTTCAAATGATTCATTAATTTCACCCCAGCTGGGGTGAAAAGTGTTTTCAACAGCTGTGCTGCGCCACGCACATAGCGCATGCGCAATGATTAGGTTCGCGCGGCTTGAACCGGGATGCGTGCAAGGATCATCGCTGTGGTCGAAGTTGGGGAACAAAAGATGTTTCTTGTGATTACAAGCATCTTGGGTCTGCAGTAATAAATATACACCGGTTCCATACTTTTCTTATTTTGGTGGTTGGCAGATTTGCAAACCAGGTTTTCAAGAAATCATAGCATTAGAAATACTAATTTCATTGTTAACAAATGCTCAGCTTGAAAACTGAAATGTTTATTTCTATCGAGACATAGAAAAAACAAAAACATGTTGATTGTGATAAGCAGCCTCTGTCTAAGACAAAAGTCAATATCTGTTTTATTGACACCTATGTGTCTGCCTCCCTGTCTGCTAATGACAATATGAAATACACAACTTCAATCATTGACCACATGCAATTTGAACTTAACATCAGGCTAGACACCATAAACAAAATACATTGATTTATGGCTCGTGCACCTGAGTTCTTTCTCTGTCAGATTATGTAATTACACAGATAGGCAGGTGTGATACTTGTACACATTGTTGATTGCAAACAAACTGCACCATTTTTTCTTGAATGACTGGATCGGACGGAAACCGGTGGAAACTCAGATTTCAGTTTCAAGTCCTGCTTTGTACTTGGACGAACGACAGTTTCTAGCCATGCAGTAGTTCACCATCTCAGTATTTCTTGATACTGGATCGAACGCAAATGCAGAAAAAATGAGCATGTATTTACAAAACCCAACATCTCTTTACACACACACAAAGAGCTCAGAGCGTATCGGCAAATGAACCAGCCAATGAAATACTTCGTTACACTTAAGTGCACGCCCACCCGCTCTGACTGGGTTAGGTATCCCGGCTGCTTCGTTTCGAGGGTAGTGATCCCAAGTACCAAATATTGCACTTTTGATTTGCGATTGTACACTTATAAGTTTGTTTATTTGTTTTTTTCATAATCAGCCATGTATATTATATGTCATGAATAAATGATAATTGTGCCTTAATTATGTTTATCTTTTTGGATGCAACTAAGCTTTCACTTCTTCATACTACAGGGCACTTGGGTTGGCCCACTATCAGTGCTGCTGGATATGTGGGGATGTTGGCAGCTACCATCGCCTCCATCATAGAGTCTGTCGGAGACTACTTTGCTGCTGCCCGTGCCTGCGCCGTCCCTCCTCCCCCCTCGCATGCTGTAAATAGGGGCATTATGATGGAGGGCCTTGGATGCCTGATAGCCGGCAGTGTTGGTGCTGTGCATGGGATAACATCTTACAGCGAAAACGTTGGAGCTTTAGTCGTAACCAAGGTCGGTGAAACATACCACCTCCGAATATTTACTGAGTGAGTGAGTTTGTTTTTACGCCGCTTTTAGCAATATTCCAGCACTATCACGGTAGGGGATACCAGAAATGGGCTTTACATGTTCAACAGAAATATTGTTTCTACTTACAAGTATTATTTCACGTACACTTACAGGGTTGTTGATAAATGTTAAGAATTTGCTTTGAATTACGAAATTCAATGTATTTATCCAACAAATTCATGTAATCGCACACCTAGTTTGTAAAACATTCACGATCCTTTCACCTTTCGGTTTCTCCTTCTTCCAGGTTGCAAGCAGATCTGTCTTTATCACGGCAGGTGTCATGCTGACTGTGTGTGGCATGCTGGGTAAATTCGGTGCTGTGGTGAGCCTCATTCCTACTCCAGTGATTGGTGGAGTGGCCCTAGTGACATTCGGAATGGTGGTCGCTGTCGGTCTGTCTACTCTGCAGTTTGTGGATCTGTCTTCATCGCGGAACCTCATGGTGCTTGGTCTGGCGTTGATGTTGGGCATAATACTACCACAGTGGGCGAAAAACAACCCCAGAGCTATTGACACAGGTGGGTGGGTGTACGTGAAGGAGACTGTGGACTGCTTCAGTTCGTATTCCAACAATATAACGAAAGGTAAACACCTTCCCAGTGTGTTGGTTGCAACATGGGTGAAAGAAAGTGTATGCTTATTGCTTCAAATATATGGCGGTGGTCTGTAAATAGTCGAGTCTGGACCAAATACTCCAGTGATCAACATCATGAGTATCTGTCTATTCAATTTGGATATAATGAACTGTGTCAACTAAGTCAGCGGGTCTGACCACCCAATCCCGTTAGTAATATATCGGTTGACAAACATACTGAAATACATCATTCCTTCAACTACTGGGCATATGTTATTCATCAGGATGACCATAGCTACATGTCTTTCCTCAGAGGAGAGTGATAAAGTCGCAATCGTCCAATCGACTCTGCCTTTAGTAAAGCTTTGTTTGTAAAGGTTATAATTGCTTTTCTTCATTTCCAGGTCACGATGAGTTGACCCACATCTTGAACGTCCTACTTGGATCTCCCATGCTGGTGGGCGGCATGGTTGGGTGCATCCTCGACAACATAGCTCCAGGTAACTGGACTCGTGAAGGTCCGGGTTAGAATGAACCTTCAGTAACCCATGCTTGTCGTAAAAGGCGACTAACGGGATCCGGTAGGTCAGGCTCGCTGACTTGGTCGACACATGTCATCGGTTCCCAATTGCTCCGATCGATGCTCATGCTGTTGATCACTGGATTGTCTGACCCAGACTCGAATATTAACAGACCGCCGCCATATAGCTGGAATATTGCTGAGTGCGGCGTAAAACTAAACTCACTCATTTCAGGTAACTCGAACACCATCAGGAGTAGAGAATGACATTTTCTCTTATATTCTATTCACGACGATCGGTGCTAGTTATTGATGACAGCTGGTTCATAAACACTGAATACAAAACAGTTGTTTAGCCATTCTAAGTAGAAATAATGTCACGTACGATCAGATACATGGGTATTATCTTTATTGCATTCAACATAATATACGTCCACGAATACGTCAACCCCTAAGAAAGGAGCTTCATTGATCGCTAGAACACGTAGAGATTTTCATCCCGTTTCGGCCTCTGCTTGTTATACCGTAACCCACGCTAGCTGTTGGTGTACATCAACTATGCCTTTCAATATACCTGAAGGAACAACAGAGTAGGATATTCTGAGGTGGAATATTCCTGCTGCTAAGCACTGTCTAACTTCAAAGAACTGCAGAAGAGATGGCGATGCTGAAATAGTGTTCAAGTAACTAAAGCATCACCTTACTTCTTCACACTGTAGAGCAGAAGTATAAAAGAACGTTCCTGTAGCTAAGCTGTCTCTGACTATAAAAAGAGCGGGTGCTCCAGTGGAAGTTTCCTGTAGCTAAGCCTTGTTTTACTTCCAGGAACTACAGAAGAGAGAGGGATGCTGAAGTGGAGGGAGGAAGGAGTTAGTTGTCAAAAGGATACGTCAGTTTCACCTGGCGTCACTTCACTGTATGATCTGGCTTTCATTACAAGGTACCTCCCGAAGGGTCTGAGGTGCAGCTGGCTCCCTGTGTCCCCGGCCTACAACAGAGGATTATGTTGCCGATTTCGAAGAAGACATCAACAACTTTGAGCACAGGTGGACATATGTCTGTCCACAGTTCCATTGCCTTGTCCAGCTCTCATCATCACCAGTGTTGTCCATAGGAGATGACAAGGCTCTATAATTATATAATGTATTTTAGTATTTAGATGCATGAAATATAACTAGATCATTAAGCAGCTGACAGAATGAGATGTTTCATGAAACATTTTACAGAGGACATAAAAGCTGGCTTCTGGCTTCAGTATAATCCCATTGAAAGTGTATATTATTGACAGTCATACATATCCATTTATTGGTTGTGGTTTTCTTGTTCTCTTTTGTATATACTTTTTCTTTAATAAAATATATCGTAAATGTACAGCAAACCTGTATCTTTTGTGCATTGTCTGCAATCACGATCAGTACGTACTTTAGTATACCTTTTAGATTCCCAACATATTTGATAACATATTCATCAACCTTGTGAATGTGAATGAACAGTTTCTACACCTTCGTAATTCCCTACTCCCATGCTTCCCGTTATAATGTTAACTTTAACACCTGTTGTCGTTCAATAACTAAACAAACATATTTACCTGCCTAAACCAGAAATACAGGAGATCGGTGAGGCTGGCTCAATTATTCAGCATTTAGAACTGTGTTTTAGGATTCCTTAACGATGTATGACAAGAGGGGTGGTTTCAAGTTTCCACACGTTAATCTCCCTTTGTGTGTAGCGATAATCCGCCAGTTCCAGCTTTTGGTTTTGGTGTCAATATTTCACAACTTTATATTTCAATCGAGCATTGTTTTCCGAAGATGGTTAAGCGCGTCATAGGACCCTTGATTGAAATGGAGATTGAAACCAAGGTTTCCAAGACACTCAAGCAATGGCCACATTATGGGTTAAACTTATATACCTCGAAAACAGGCACATCTGGCTGTCCAACATGACGCAACCATGCATTCTATTAGGCAAGCGTAATGTGAAACTATAAACGTTCGCTCATATTTTGTCAGTTCCTGACAATCGCAAGAGAATACAGAGTGAGTTCATGAAGGATTTGCATACGTTCTGTTTCGAAAGTGTAACTATTAATTATGAGATGAGGATAAATAGGATCGACAGTTTTCGATTTGTTGCATGTGTATTCTATTCTAACCGTGATGACCATGGTGCTCCACAATCGATTTAATTGATTTTAATCGTCAACACTTCCTCAGACCCTAACTCTTAGAGTCAGGCGCCTAATCGCCAGCTCACAATGTCAGCGATCTGACCCCATCAGCTACCGCAGCTGTCAGTGAAAGACACTGTCCAGTTTGTCGACACACAGTCTACCAGGTCGCACATTACTACCCACTCAGCTACCGCAGCTGTCAGTGAAAGACACTGTCCAGTTTGTCGACACACAGTCTACCAGGTCGCGCATTACCACCCACTCAGCTACCGCAGCTGTCAGTGAAAGACACTGTCCAGTTTGTCGACACACAGTCTACCAGGTCGCGCATTACCACCCCACTCAGCTACCGCAGCTGTCAGTGAAAGACACTGTCCAGTTTGTCGACACACAGTCTACCAGGCCGCGCATTACCACCCACTCAGCTACCGCAGCTGTCAGTGAAAGACACTGTCCAGTTTGTCGACACACAGTCTACCAGGTCGCTTACCACCCACTCAGCTACCGCAGCTGTCAGTGAAAGACACTGTCCAGTTTGTCGACACACAGTCTACCAGGCCGCGCATTACCACCCACTCAGCTACCGCAGCTGTCAGTGAAAGACACTGTCCAGTTTGTCGACACACAGTCTACCAGGCCGCGCATTACCACCCACTCAGCTACCGCAGCTGTCAGTGAAAGACACTGTCCAGTTTGTCGACACACAGTCTACCAGGCCGCGCATTACCACCCACTCAGCTACCGCAGCTGTCAGTGAAAGACACTGTCCAGTTTGTCGACACACAGTCTACCAGGTGGCAAGTCCAATGTTTGTCTTAGATGCAGTGACAATGTTAAAAGTATCTTCCGCAGAACAAATGGAGGGACTGGGCGTCGGAAGTCGAGATCACCAAGCCCCACCAGTGGGACATGCAACAAACTTGGCCAAAAGCAAAACCAGTGGCTCTCTTGTAGCATCTCTCTGCAGCAGTAAAAGTGTCAGCAAATAATTAGTATGACATTTCCCACCCTCCAGAAGTTCTTGTCGTTCTGAAACAAGCCACAGAATGTCCAGGTTACTGACAACAAACAAGGTTTACCCCACTGCTTGACTCACACAGTCCACGTGTAAGATATGAGGGCGTAGGTTACAAGTATCCAGATTGAGATTAACAGTATTAATTGCATGAAAATAAATTGTAAATTCCATCACCTTACTCAGAAATGTTTTATAGTCGAGAAGAAGTTTACTATACTTAAACAAAGTGCCAGGGTTCAAAGCACGAACTTGAACAGGTACACTGGAAAGTTATAAACTTTTGATATACATAGTGTAATTGAAACATTACTATATTACGGTCAAGAGAACAGATGTATATTTCCTTTGGATGAACATTTTGGAAATATATAGTTGACATAACAATAAATGTGTTTCAGTCAAAGAGTGGCAATTAAGAGTGACTTCAGGTTACAATCATTCTCTCTCAACGCTGATCCGCACTTTGTCGAAGCAAACTTAACTCACTGAGCCGCTGTGCTGACAAACTGCATGACTATTAATGCCCTGGTCTAATGGAGGGTGACATGTAAGACACAGACACATGCTAGCATAGTTTATTCTCGAAACCCACCACCTGTGGCACATGAGACAATATAAGATTTACAACAATAAATATAATTCAGTGAGTGAGTGAGTTTAGTTTTACCCCACACTCAGCAATATTCCAGCTATATGGCGGCGGTCTGTAAATAATCGACTCTGGACCAGACATTCCAGTGATCAACAGCATGAACATCGATCTACGTGATTGGGATACGATGACATGTGTCAATCAAGTCAGCGAGCCTGACCACCCGATCCCGTTAGTCGCCTCTTACGACAAGCATGGGTTACTGAAGATCAATTCTAACCTGGATCTTAACGGGTCATAAATATGATGAATAACGATATGGAGAGAATGTACATTGATTCATAAAGTTAACACACAAACACTTGGAAAATATTTCAAGGAATACAGATATTACATTCAAAAATGGGTTTAACATTTGAAATAGAATTACAGGTTTAATCGTTTTGATATGATATTAATATATTTTGCGAGGTTGCACAATATATTATAATTAGTTCCTCTTGAATTAAATAATTTCGCCACCTTTAGTGGATTGGGCCATTGCACATATGTATTAGGAATGAAATATGTCTAGCATAAAAACTTCGGATATAGCAAAAAAATCTGCAATTGCAAGAGAATTGCATATTGGACAAATTCTTTCTTCTCTGGGTACAGCACTCCATCGGTCAGTTTCATCGGAAGGTTATCATTTGAGGTTCTGAAGTTTAAAATCGGAACAGATATAGTTTTAGTTAAAAAGATAGGTTTCAAACTTTGGAATTGCTTTAACATAATGATAAAAATGGATCTGCGGGCTTGATGAAATAATCTGCCTCCGATTTATGCCAAAATGACATCATTTTCTTGTAAATCTTAATGTATAACGGTTGTCTTCGCAATTCACCATAGACCATAAAATGTGACGTTGAATTTCTCAAGCAAGAAACCCCATATTTCAGGGCCATATGTTAGGGAAGAAATGACAACGGTATCAAAAGCTGTTAAAACAAAATCTAAGGGTAAACTTAGATTACGGGATTTCTTAATCAATCCATACATTGCTTTTATGGCATTTTCACAAATAGGTTTGATTCCGGTTACAAGTCGTCTATTTCTATGCATATAATTTCCAAGATATACATAACTATCTGCTATTTCTAAAAGTCTGTTTTCGTAGAAGAACAAGCATTTTGAGGATTTTGTTGGTGCCCCTCTAAATATTGCAATTTCAGTTTTATTTATATCATAGTTCTAAAATATGTCATATTTTCCTCAATCTTATATAAATGATTGTGACTATATAAAATAGGACTAAACAGCACATTTTCTATATTTTATTCAATAACGAGAATACTAAACGCTGTCTCAGTTAGTGTTGATCTTCATTTTCCAAGTTGTAAGATAATCAGCATTATGTGTTGAGCTTTAAGACTACATGCATGGTCCGTCCGAAGTCTATAATCGGTCAGTATCGATATACGCTCGTCTTCATCCCCAAGTTTTCTTGAAAAGCTTTATGTAGTAATTGTTAAGACGACATGTCCGGAGAGAGAAGTAAACATTACTCTATGATAACACGCTCTCCGAGAAAACTGCTAGATAATTTAGTAATTTCTGCATTCTCAAGTCTTTCAAAGTTACGAGGTAATCTTAAGATTTAGATAGTCAGCAGTGTAGATTAGCAGCATTTGTAAGTATTGTTTAAAGAAGTGAGCAATGAATGTGCGACCATATCACGAACTCTGAGAGCATCGGTGGTATGTATAACGGCCTTTATTCCGGGTATTTCACTCATGAAATGCACCGAATAAAGACTGGCCACTAATCGATGCTTCTCTTGGTTATTTGAAGGTAAGCCATGTTCAATTCATTCATTGTATGTTCTTAAATTATGTTCATATTTTCTCTGTTTCTATTGCGTGCCATACTGTTAGTTTATATTATCATTTAAACTTTGCAGTATTGACTAGGTACAACAGTGAATATCTGTATCATAGTTAGGTCAGGCCATGTAGCACTAATCTAACAATTTAGTGTACATCAAAATAGTTCACAGTATAATATAGTAACGTTTAGACATTATATAAGTTCAGTAAATCAAGATTAAACATAATCGGACTCGTGGAAGCAAAGTAATTTTTTTGCACATGTGTATATATTATTGCGGGTTTGTAATGAAAGTGTATGCCAGTGAATGTATGATTCTAAATGATAATTATTCGTTTTAATTCAAATGTTCCATGCTGCCTTCCATCAACCAATGTTCACATCAACAATGTACATATTACGTGAGATAACCATACGGACACGAAAAACTCGTGAGCGCACATAAACCTTGTTGTTTGATTCGGTTGCTCACATATTGCTACGTTCTCAGTATCGTTAAGCTCTAATTATGAATACGTTGGACACTTTCAATAACATGCCGTTCGGCATATGATCTTTAGTAAATCACGATAGTCTAGATATTCAGATGTGGTCATATGATTCAACCAGCAGACTGAACATTTATATTATTTGTGTATTCTTATTATTCTGTTTAAGTTGTATTCTGTTGCGATGTAGCAAGATGGAAATCACGTGACAGAACGCACATCATGTTCCCG